TATATATATATATATATATATGTGTGTGTGTGTGTGGATAATATGCAATATAAATAAGCTTTAGAATTAATAGATAAAGTTTTAAAAATGACTACATACGACTTGATTTTTTTAGTGTCTGTATATATATTCAACTACATAAACTAACTTCACAACTGTCACTTGCATGGCGAGATGTTTTCTTTAAGTTATCCTCTTTTATGGACAACTCTTTTCAACTTGCTGTGTTTAAATTCTTCATTTAAAAAAAAAAAAAGAAATCATTTAATCTTTAGCAGTGAATTGCTCTCTGGTGAGAAGTGAATCACAGTTTCAAGGCATGTGATTGGCTGTTCATTACAGATGTCATGTGCACCTGCTCCATAAACTCAGGATCAATGCTTTTGTTGACAGAGAACGTTAATGATCAGGGTCATGGCACCAACAAAGCCGGATTGGATTGGTTTGGTTTTGTCAACTCAAAACTAATCCTATAACCCTGAGTTTGTTCAGCCACCATCATGGTACAGGCCCCATGAACTCCACTGTCAAACATGAATATTAAAACATAATTATATATAATAATTAATATAAAACGTAAGTTGAAATAATGAGAACCGATGGCTTCAGCAAAAGCTTTTATATCGATTAACAACCTCATAGCTCACAGTAGGTCCATCTTTGAAGGGTTATAAATTATTGTACTTATTGTCTCCTATGGAGGAAATGAATGGATTTTAACTTTGGGAATCCGACTACCGCACTCAATACAGAACCGATTCCATCTTTGGTTCTATAAACAGTTCAAACAGAACATTGTATTGAAATACTCTTTCGGTGAATCTTTTTGGTGTCTCCTTTTTCCTGAATTAAACATTTCTTATACTTACTGAGTCACAAATTATTACCTAGTCCAACTCGAAAGACCTGTTACTGTTAGTAACTGGTTGTTCATATAACATTTTACAGTTTAGTTGCACAATGAACAGAGCTGGGTAGATTACATTACACATTTTAGGTAATATAATCAGAATACTTTGATTACTTTTGAACCAACTCATTTATCCAATTGATTTAATAAATATTGTACCATATTGATATAAAAATGCAAAGAAAATATTACATTTGTTGTTAATAACATAATGAAGTGCATTAAACATTACATTACGTAAAGGTTTCCTAAACTGTGGTTTGTGAAGATTTATTGCTGCTGTGTGAATAAAATGTAATCATGTAATGAATAAAAAAGTAACTGTAGTCTGATTACGAGTATTTGAAAAATGTAATTTAATCTAACAAGCAATTAATTTTTGGAATCTGATTACGTAATCTAGATTACATGTAACTAGTTACTACCCGGCTCTGAATATGAAGTATACATTGTTTAACAAACAAATTTGGTATGTTATTTAATTTGTTAAGTATTATTTAATAAAGGGAGCAATTGTCTGAACTGCATGTATACTCTAAAAGGTATTTTTTTCCCCTACAAATATTAATTCCCAAAAAAAAAGAACTAACAAAATATTAAATCACGGAATCAGAAGAATCGTGGAACTAATTGATTCACAAGAAAGATTCGATTCCCGACTCGCTCGGTTTCACGCGCGAATCAGGAGTTACGTGATACAAAAATGAAAACAAAGAAATGTAGGTTGTATAAAACTTAACGAGACAGGGGTTGAATGGCAAAGGGTAAGTTAGGCTAGCCGAGCAGCTATGTGGCCAATACCCAACCATGCAATGCCTTCCTACATGTTTCGATACACAATATTTCCGTAGAGAGCCAGTTTAATCCTCCAGAGTGTTGTTTACTGCACTGAATCTAGTATGCTAACACACTAATCGGCCCACAGAAACTTTGATGATCTTGTCAGCAGCTTGTTTCTCGAGTCTAAAGGCACTCCAACTAAAAATAAACAAGAATAGTCCGTATTTAAGATATATAAACAAAAGGAAGAAAGGTAAAATCGTGCAGGATTTAGTGCTGTGTGGTTGTATCAGGACACGATGAAACTCCAGCCCTCTTACCTCCTCCATGAAACTTGTGATATCGTAAACTTTATCGTGGATTATGAGCCATGTGTCTTTGCTCATGTTATGGGCTTGAACCTCCTCGCGCGTGTAATATTTCACACCGCTGTCGGTATTTTCATCCGTGTCCTGATTCTCTCTTTTCACCGAGATCTCAGTTTCTTCCCCCATATTTCACGCACATTCGGCGGAAACCAGAGCGCAGGTTTTAACGGTGATCGTTTAGCTTGAGGCGGTTTTTTAATACACCTTTTAACCCGTCCAATTCCGTTCTCGCCGAGCCGGCACACCATTTCACCACCAGTCAGGGTTGCCAGGTTTTCACAACAAAAACCCGCCCAATCGCTTTGGGGCTAGTTTTGAGTAGAAAAACGGAATGTGTTAAAAATCATATTCCGGGGGGTAAAATACAAGTTTTTTGGCGGGGGTCACCTGCTATATTTATATATATATATATATATATATATAAATATACATAAATAAATATATAAATATATATAAATATATATAAATATATAAATAGCTGATCCGAATGTCTGTGGTCCTCTACGCACCCCAGAGACATATAACTCAGCTGTTGCTGATCTCCAGGCTGAAAACATCCAAGGCGTCAGAGGGATAAAGGTAAACTCTATCTTTGAGTCTTTTCATGTATCCCAGCCTGGTCTCCCGCCCTGTTTAGGTCATGACCTCTTTGAAGGAGTCTTGTCATATGATCTAACACTGTACCTGAAGAACATTATAAAAAAGAAAAAATGGTTCACGTACTCACTCTTAAACAGGCGCATGAAACAGTTAAAGTACAAAGGATCTGAAGCACTCACAAAGCCATGTGCTGTCAACCCGGACAGTGCCAAGTTATCAGGGCAAGCCATTCAAAATGCTGTATTTTTTACAGGAATTCTCTGGTAACCACAGCTGCCAGCATTTTCCTGTAAAAACAACAGTTTTTTTTTTACAGTGTATATATATATATATATATATATATGTCATTTTTTTATTTTTATCTTTAAAATGTAATTGAGTGCAAATATTCAAGTCTCAATAATAGGCATATTTAAGTAGCTTTAATACCCCAAAACAATACTAATTATTATACAATCCTTTTATTATTATGATTATTATACACTCCTGTATGCATTAAAAAAAAAGTTGTATGTGCTTTTTAAAGGTTTCAGGTTTGCAAGACAAAATAAAATTTACACCACTGCTACTCTTTTTTCTTTTTTTTTTCTAATTGTTGTTCTGAATTAAGTATGATACAAGCAAGCAGGTATGGGGTTTTTAGATACTGCATTCATTCGCTGATTGTCATTTGTCTCTTCCCTCAAACCAAAAATAACAAAACCTTCCCTGAATGAATTTGCTAATGACTTTTGCAGAGTTTTCATTTCGTGCTAGGTAGAGAGCAACGCTTCCTCATTTGCATATCTAATCAGCTAGTGAGGAGTGCCATGTGTGCTCAACTGATATCCGTTTAGGGCAGGGGTGCCCAAACTCGGTCCTGGAGGGCCGGTGTCCTGCAGAGTTTAGCTCCAGCTTGCCTCAACACACCTGCCTGGAAGTTTCTAGCATGCCTAGTAAGAGCTTGATTAGCTGCTTCTGGCATGTTTGATTAGGGTTGGAGCTAAACTCTGCAGGACACCGGCCCTCCAGGACCGAGTTTGGACAGCCCTGGTTTAGGGAAAACAGAGGACTCATAATTGGTCTCATCGGTGAAATGGCTCATTAACACTAAGCCGGAGCACTTTCCCCGTTTTTACAAACTGAAATCTGCAGATTGTAGTATGAGGCTGCATTAATAAGAAAAATCAGCCGTTTTCAAATATATAATAGGCTATTTAACGTTTAATATAGACAAGTATAAGTAGACTGTCTTTATGAAAACTGAGTAAAAGATTTGGTGCCATATTTGAAAATTGTTAATTGACTAAACAGTTGAGATAAAGAATGTTTTGATCTTAAAGTTTCAGTAAACTTACTCCCTGTTAACAAATCGCTTACTTGTGCCACAGTAGGTTAGACAAGGAGTGCTTCTCAATATCCCTCCTCGCTCCTGCATCCTATGACCCAGAAACCGATCGAGCTCAGCCATCTTGAAGGACGTCTCAATTCACACCTGATTCAGATCATCAGTTCATCGTGTCTGGGAACCACTGGGTTAGGAATGTCTCACTCATCAGACACACCTAATTCAGGTCTTGCAGTCTCTACTAATGAGCTAGTTGAATCAGGTGTGTTAGATGAGAGAGACATAAAATGTGCAGTGGGGGGCCTCCAGAACAGGCTTGGAAATCTCTGGGTTAGATTATGTTAAAGTGTGACGGTTGTTGTGAGTCATGATGGTGCATGATGGACCACTCAAATATTTTATACTTTCAGCCTTTGAGTTTTTGTGATTTTCTCAGCCCTCCAAAATGTTGCCAATGCTAGATACTGTTTTGAGCTATGGGGAAAAAAAAAGATTGTGAATGTACGTCATGCCATATTAACTTGTTCACTCAGCTGTTATTATAATTGTGTGGCAGGTGATTGGAGCTACAGTAGTGAGATGAAGCATATCTGACGTTGATGATGCTTCTTACTCTGAAAACATGCAAAAAAAAAAAACTTTACAAGTCCAGAAGAGTGATCAAGAAATATTTATCAACTGAAAAACTGTTGTCCAAGTGTTTGAGAGAGAGAGATATATATATATATATGTATATATGTATATGTGTATATGTTTTTGTCTATGGAGACCTGCTTTCAAGGGAGGATCCGATTCCTTGCAACACTTGAGAAAACCTCCAGGCCCTTAGGAAAGCCGAGGTAGTTAGAGTGAGACTGGACCAACCCGAAATGGTTACTAACCATCACGGCCAGGACTCCTCGCCTTCTATCACAACTTTGATGTGGATACTATTTTGCTCTGTTTTCACTACTGCAAGTTTGTTTTATCAGATCAAATTTCACACTATTTACACAAACTGGGCTGCTTTTTCTCCTCTTGTAATCTGCACTTGAGAGCTTGTGCATTGTGACTTCCTTTAGGTTGGATTGTGTCTGAACTGGGTAATGTAATGGCTTTCCTCCAGTGTGCTTTCTCCCTCTCAGAGAAATACAGGAGCAATGACTCTTTTTCACAGTGTGGACACTTGTAAGGTCTGTCTTCATCAGTGTTGGGGAAAGTTACTTTTAAAAGTAATGCATTACAATATTAAAACTGGCATTACTTTTTTGAAAAAGTAACTCCTATATTTTCTTGTAAATTAAAAAAGTAATGCGTTACTTTACTAGTTACTTGAAAAAAGTAATCTGATTACATAACTTGCATTACTTGTAATGAGTTACCCCCAACACTGGTCTTCAGTATATGGATTTGATTGCTATCTCACTCAAACTCTGCAAGAGTGAAGTTTTGGGTTGCCACGATAGGGTAATTTCACGTTCTTGGTGTTATTGCATGTTGTTGCAAGAAAGTATTCTTTTCATTAGACTTCAGTGTACTTTGCTTTGTAGCATCACTGAAGTGACTTGCAGCTGATGTCCTGCCCTCCTGTTTAGTCCTTCTCCTACCACCTTTTATTTAGATCACATTTTACAGTCCACTTACGTATATATTTATGTGTGTAAAGTTTTACTTTAAAGAATAAAGATTGTTTCCCCTCATGTTGGTGTAGGCTATGTATTATTTTCATATTTGCTGTGTTCCAGGTTTTATAAAAAATATACAGTACATGTCTAAAGTTTTTTTTTTTTTTTTTTTTTTTCCCCTCTTTCTTCAAGTTT